CGACATTGGAAAACATATTGAAGATAATTTAAAAAGTCTAGCACCGTGTTTATATTTTATGATCTAATTCTAGCATTGGATGAAAGCACAGATATGATAGATACTGCCAAACTGACATCAGTGGTGTTGATGTCCATTTTTTTAAAAAGACAGAAGAATAAGCGGCTCTGTGTCCACTTAAGGACACTACTAAGCCACGAGATTTGTTCGATGCAGTTGCATCGACATTGAATCGCTTTTCTTTACAACTTAACAACTTTATCGGGCATAACAGCGGATGGTGCGACAGCATTGGTTGGGTCACGAGAAGGTTTAGTAAAATTGATGGGAGATGAGGCCTCTGAAGTCGTTATTACTTCAATGCATTATTCATCTAGAAAATGTATGTTTGTATATTAATATTCTCTCAAAATGGACCATGTCAACAAAGTGGTTGTCAAGGTGATGATCTTCATTATTCAGTCGAACGGGTTGAATCAAAAATTAGGTGCGTGGACCGGCAGGAAATATTATTTCTGAAATTTGGCCCACCTACTGAAAAGGTTGGCCACCCCTGATCTAAAGTTACAAATGGATCTACCTTCTTTAATTGCTAAAGAACGCGTTTTCTCATTACGTTCTCATCATTTTGTTAAATGGGATGAAAATTCTGGTACATTAATTTACGATAATAAGCACTAACTTGTAGATATGTCAGGTTGTAGAGCAGGCCTTCGCGTATTATATTTATTGATTTTCAAGCCCTGGCGCTACTCACACCTCCAAAATGCCATTGAATAGATTGGTTGTCACAAAGCCATATTGATTTCTGTAGTTACATATTATTAGTAAATAAATAGATGTTTTATGTTCATTTGTGTGGAAAGGTGGTGTAATATTAGTAAATGAATAGATATTTATTGTGTTCCTGTGTGTGGAAAGGTAGTGTCATATTAGAAAATAAATATATATTTTATGTTCCTGTGTGTGGAAAGGTGGTGAAATATTAGTAAATAAATAGATATTTATTGTGTTCCTGTGTGTGGAAAGCTGGTGTAATATTAGTATATAAATAGTTAATTTATGTTCCTATGTGTGGAAAGGTGTTGCAATATTAGTAAATAAATAGATACTTTGTGTTCCTGTGTGGAAAGTTGTATTTTAAGACAAATATTGCAGGCTTCAAAGTATTATTATATAATTATTGAAGTAATGGTGCAGTCCTATATTTGGTTTCTAATGAATGAGCCAATTTTAATATCTGTTGCCTCAAACAAAACTCTCTTATACACTCATGCTTATCTGCTTGCGCAGGGGAAAAAATGGGGGGGGGGGGGATCAGTCTTTAAATTGTGTTTTTGGGTTGAGAGGGAATAGACATATTTGCCAGTTACGGACTAGCCAAGGTCAAGGTGTCAGATTGTCAGACCACGAGAGATCCACCACTTTAATCAAGTGGGCCCCCTCCACATGTGGGTTTTTTTTTAAATTGTATTTATTTGTATTTATTTCGAAAGATATAGCCTCAGGCCTGTTTACCCCTGTGTTAGTGTCAGTGTAGTTTTCAGCGCTCAAAAACGTAGTTTGGTCAAATTAGTGGGGGGGGGGGGGACTGGTTTGCAATCAAAATAGAAGTTGTGTAAGTAAGGAAATCCACTCAATTACTTATGTAAGTTAACAAAAATAAATATACAGGATATAGTCTTGCGATTTGTTTCTTAAGGATGAGAAAAGGTGTTAGGAACGCAGTGGCGTCTAAAAGTAATATTATAAATGCGAATCAAAGTTGGACAATTTTAAAAGTTTTAAAGGGGAATAACTCGTGTCAACACGTTTTACGTCTCCAAGATATGAATCGAAAAAAATAAAAAGATAAGAATTTGTGTTTACAATATGTTAGCCAAAGATGTTATCCCTGGCGGTAAAAAAAAACAAACCCTAAAGACGTCACTGCTGAGTAGTGAAATAAGTTGAGAAAGGTCTATTCTAGCCCCAGTTAAAGTACGACTGAAGTTAATTAGCATTATATAATTGAATATGTAGGTCTCCAATGAATATGTTCTTTTTTTTAAAGTAAATTTATTTCTAAAATAACAAACAAATAACTTTATATTTTTATAAACTGAAAAATATATTGTTTTCTTAGTCTGAAAAACATGCTGAAAAAACAGATGATAAATAGAACCCAACAGTCAGCGTAGGTCTGAGCTGAAGGCAGAAATATATAGGTATTTAGTTATAATTACAATTTGTCTAGTCACTGTTTGAATCTCAAAGTCATGTTCATCTTACATAGCTCAAACACAGAGATCGATTTGCATTCTTTCCCAAAGTTCGTTTCTATAGCGGGGCACTCGTGCGTTTGAAAGGGCAGACAAACACTTAATTAAAAATAATTACGTTTTTTTTTTAAATTATCTTTTGTTATAACAAATGCTTTTATCACAAAGACCTTAATAAAGAAGAACTATCAAATGAATGCAAGCATCTCAAGAACTACCTGGTTCTTGATGAAAATTGTGACGCTATCGCTGCTTTATATGAACAAATAATTACAGACAACTTGAAATCGGTATTTCCTAATGTTGAAATTGCACTCAGAGTGTTCATGCCCATGATGATAACCAAATGCATAGGGGGGCGTTCATTTTCAAGATAGAAGCTCATACAGAATCAGCTCCTACAGAATCAGCTCCTACAGAATCAGCTCCTACAGAATCAGCTCCTACAGAATCAGCTCCTACAGAATCAGCTCCTACAGAATCAGCTCTTACAGAATCAGCTCCTACAGAATCAGCCCATACAGAATCAGCTAATACAGAATCAGCTCATACAGAATCAGCTAATACAGAATCAGCTCATACAGAATCAGCTCATACAGAATCAGCTCATACAGAATCAGCTCATACAGAATCAGCTCCTACAGAATCAGCTCCTACAGAATCAGCTCTTACAGAATCAGCTCCTACAGAATCAGCTCTTACAGAATCAGCTCCTACAGAATCAGCTCATACAGAATCAGCTAATACAGAATCAGCTCATACAGAATCAGCTAATACAGAATCAGCTCATACAGAATCAGCTCATACAGAATCAGCTCATACAGAATCAGCTCATACAGAATCAGCTCCTACAGAATCAGCTCATACAGAATCAGCTCATACAGAATCAGCTCATACAGAATCAGCTCATACAGAATCAGCTCATACAGAATCAGCTCATACAGAATCAGCTCATACAGAATCAGCTCATACAGAATCAGCTCATACAGAATCAGCTCATACAGAATCAGCCCATACAGAATCAGCTCATACAGAATCAGCCCATACAGAATCAGCTCATACAGAATCAGCTCATACAGAATCAGCCCATACAGAATCAGCTCCTACAGAATCAGCTCATACAGAATCAGCTCATACAGAATCAGCCCATACAGAATCAGCTCATACAGAATCAGCCCATACAGAATCAGCTCATACAGAATCAGCTCATACAGAATCAGCTCATACAGAATCAGCCCATACAGAATCAGCTCCTACAGAATCAGCTCCTACAGAATCAGCTAATACAGAATCAGCTCATACAGAATCAGCTCATACAGAATCAGCTCATACAGAATCAGCTCATACAGAATCAGCCCATACAGAATCAGCTCATACAGAATCAGCTCATGCAGAATCAGCTCATACAGAATCAGCTCATACAGAATCAGCTCATACAGAATCAGCTCATACAGAATCAGCTCATACAGAATCAGCTCATACAGAATCAGCTCATACAGAATCAGCTCATACAGAATCAGCTCATACAGAATCAGCTCATACAGAATCAGCTCATACAGAATCAGCTCATACAGAATCAGCTCATACAGAATCAGCTCATACAGAATCAGCTCATACAGAATCAGCTCCTACAGAATCAGCCCATACAGAATCAGCTCCTACAGAATCAGCTCATACAGAATCAGCTCCTACAGAATCAGCTTCGCTGTACAGTGGGACAAAACTCTTGAACTGGCTTCCACTTATGTCCATGGACAATGATATCCTTAAGGCAATTGACTTTAACCCAAAAATAAAACAATTCTCTGCACAAAAAATTACTCATGCGATTTTGTTGATTTATATTAAATAATTTCTTTTATCTATCTGTCAATAATGATAATTTTCACCCTTTGTGATTATTTATAGTTTATTTCTGATAATGTTTTAAAACTATTATTAATTTTGATTGATTTTGTGTGTGTGTGTGTGTGTGTGTGTCAATAAATTGGATTTATCTAAGTTCAACTTTATTGAATGTTTATTTGTATTCCTCTTGGTCAGTTAGTTGGGAGCAGGGACTGTTTGCCCCCCACCACTGTTTGAGCCTGGGGCGAGTGCCCCCTTCGGCCCCACTTCTTACGGCCCAGGTGTGTTGTGTTGCTAGGGGGCCCCATTGCATTGCTGTGCCCATGGCATCCTAATGTTGTTAAGACGGCCCTGTTAGAGCGAATATTGTCAGTTAAGTGTTAACGCAATTCTCTAAAAAGAAGATATTCCGGTTGGCTTGTTGAGATCGAGACCGCAAATTCCAATCACAGCTATTCTTACTCGAATGCTTACGGTGTTAACACATAAAATTCCGGAACATTTTACTGAAAACACACCAATTATTTATTAATTTAAAAAAAAATTAAAAACACACCGCGGCTTAAAACTGTAGTTACTACGGCGAAAGCGTAGGGGTAAACAGCTGACATTTGGGAGTTGCCTCCCTTTTGTCTTTTCCTGGCAAACATTATTTTTAGACCCATATTGCCATGACGTCTGCAACAAGCATTGTGCTGTGTAAATAGATTTTAGAATTGGGAAGTTCTACTAGCGTTACACGCAGGCATGGCTTTTTGTTGTTTTGTTTTGTCTGCACATTTCCACAACCAGCAGACGTACATTACATGTGTTACAATATGAAGCAGGAAAACCGAGTAAAAAAAAGATAGAGGCATATTTCTGTTACCTCTCTCAATCTCCATCTTTCCCTGGCATGTGCTGCCCTTTCGTCGGGTCAATCAATGCACATTCATTGGTGTCCCATATTATCATGAGCCGATCGATCGATTTCCAACACTAAAACTGATTCAAATCGATGGCAAGCCTTTCATCCCAGGGGAGCACCTATTTTGGGTGCCTAGAGTAGGCACGAGGAGTAAGTGATCTATATTAGCTACCTTGAGTAGACACACAGAGTAAGTGATCTGTATTAGCTGCCTTGAGTAGACACACAGAGTAAGTGATCTGTATTAGCTGCCTTGAGTAGACACACAGAGTAAGTGATCTGTATTAGCTGCCTTGAGTAGACACACAGAGTAAGTGATCTGTATTAGCTACCTTGAGTAGACACACAGAGTAAGTGATCTGTATTAGCTGCCTTGAGTAGACACACAGAGTAAGTGATTTGTTTTCATATATCCTAGCCTAAGCTTCTTGTTAGAAAAAAATGACAGTAATTTCTGTATGTCGATTGTATAATTAATTGTTTCTTAGAAAATTAAATCGACACAATTTTTTTTTTTTTTTAATGAAGTCACATATAAGAAGCTTTGTTGTGATCGAAAGACTAAAGCAGATATATCATTTACAGGAACTGTTTAAAAAAAATAATAAAAAGGTGCATTGTCATTGGCTTATTGTTACTAAATGTGCTATCGAATGCTGGATGAAACGGCGTAGCATGTGAAATGAAATATTTTAGTATAAAAACCCGAATGTCTCTTTATCTAGTTTATATCTGTAGTGTTTATTGGGGGGGGGGGGGAATTGCTTTTGGGATAACGTACAGGTTTTAACCAAAGGGTATTTTCGGTACCCTTTTTTAACTTTTTTAAACACAGTAGACTGATTTATTTGAATAAACTGGTGTTTTTCTTTTAAAGGTTACAGTATCCCCCCCCCCCAACCCAATTCCGAGAATTATTTTTTTTTAGATTATGTTAAACTTAGTGGATATCTGAAATTTTCATAGACTTAAAAGAGTTCTCTCAGCGGACTGCCCCCTATTTTATTCTGGGAAAATATTATTTTTTTTCCTTGAAGGGAGGTCGTACAATGAGGCCGGATAAAATACTTTTCTTTAAATATAATGCAACACTATTTAAGTTATTGTAACACATATAAAACAAACGGAGACGACGGCGAGTTTCTCGGTAACACTATTGATACAATGATTAATCCGCCTTACGTTGATGGACATCGATTTCCGTTTGATTCCTGTGATGACACACTTCAGAACTCACACGCGCACACACTGACAAAGCGTAAGCGCGCTAGCGATGCCTGGAACTGCATCTTCTGTAGCGGCACCGCAAACCTTTGGTATGAATGCAAGCCTTACTCCAAATCAAAGTTTCTCAAAGCGGGTTGCTCGCACCCCCGTGGTGTTTCGCACATCGAGGGGGGGGGGGGGGAGTGTGGAGCGGCATTTCAGAGGTACCGATGAAAAATTATAAGGAATTGTGATTTTTTTTATGTTAGATATAATTAAAACATTTGTGTGGAAATGCTCGCACCCCCGTGGTGTTTCGCACATCGAGGGGGGGGGGAGAGTGTCGAGCGGCATTTCAGAGGTACCGATGAAAAATTATAAGGAATTGTGATTTTTTTTATGTTAGATATAATCAAAACATTTGTGTGGAAGCGGAGCGTCTCCGAGGAAACTTGGGGACGCCCACATAGAGTTTTGCCTCTTCGTGGCTTGGCGGACTCTATAGTAGGGAGGTAGGGTTCTCCCGAAGCTACAAAAACCCGGCAGACTGCATGACTCCCAACGCAACGGGAGAAGTAACGTCATAACATGATTACTTGTTGCCGTTAATGGATATGAGGCATGAGGTTGGTAGTGGCAACCTCGGGTCGATGATTCTAATTACACAGCAATGGAGGAAGCTGTTCCTTGGCAACCGTTTCGCCCCAGCTTCTTTGTAAACTAATTGCGATGTAGAAACCCACTGTAGGACTCCCTATTAGAAGCAAGGATGGGCAAAGAGGGGGGGGGGAGATTTTAGGATGTAAATATACCATCCCAACTGCTGAGAAAGTCGACGGCTGACGCTGCGTCCTTGGGGTGGGGTGGCCTCCATGTGTAGTCGATTGAGAGGGTGAGGGTTTGGAGGCCGTCCTGGCAAAGGGAGATCTGCGACGTGCCGCTACGCATTATTTTATGTGTCTAAATTGACGAAATTTGACGAAAATTTTAACGTGTGAACTGAAAAAAAAAAGATTCGACCAAATTTCCTTTGATCAAATGTCCATCGATCAATTTTTTTCGTCGACGAAATTTCTTTCGATCAAATTTCCGGTAATTCTCACTGACACCATTTCGTAATGTACATTTTCAGAAGGGGTGCAGAATATAGAAAAGTTTGTGGGATCCCTTTTCTCAAACGGGACTTCCTGTCCAATAGACGGCCATGACGTATCCAGCTGGAGTGGACTTTACGGTCATAACGGCCCTGACCTTTGATTTCGTCGGCTGGATCATACACAATGTGGGACTGGGGACGACCCACTGGTCAGTCTTAGGTCCGCAAACTCAAGGTGTCGTCCAGTACTGCTACAATAGTCTGTGTACCTACAGAAGCCTCCGAGACATGTCATGTAAGTGTTGGGGTAGATTGGACCTTCCTGTAGCTGACAGAGGGAGGAATGGTCGGTTATCCATAGGGCAAGTTGGGCAATGCGCCCAGGGTCCACACGACTCAAAAGAGTGTGCGTGGGCAGGGGTGGGGGAATAAAGGGCTTTAAATGACCATGAAGTCTGCTTCTACTAGACATTAACTAATTATAAGAGTGTTGGACTGCATTAATCTTTACTTTAGAGTAGTTTGATTAGACTCAAACAGAATTATAAACAATGCCTTTTTTGACTTTTTGAAATGCAAATTATATCACAACTGTCAATATGTAAAAGTACTCTTCTTTTTAGTCACCAACGATATTAGGATCTGCAAATATCCATAGGAAATGTATGTATTATGTAGAGCTATGTGTACCTTTAATGGCTGTGCGCAGGTTCCCAAAAGGTCTGTGTTTTGCCCCGTTAGAAGGCAGATACATGACGTACATTTTCCACCTTTTATTTATATTAACATGGTTTACGTTGAAGTTGTGGTAAGGTTTATGTGTGACGAGCCATTAAAAACAGTGATTCTCAACATGTTTGTGTATGACTAGCTATTAAAAACAGTGATTCTCAAATTGTAGTTTTTTTTTTGTTTTTTTAAGTTTAAATTTTTTTATATTTAAACAAAAAATAGTTATTGTTGTTTTTTTAAGTTTAAATTTTTTTATATTTAAACAAAAAATAGTAATTGTTGTTTTTTTTAAGTTTAAATTTTTTTATATTTAAACAAAAAATAGTTATTGTTGTTTTTTTAAACTAAATCAAAAGAGCGTATTGTTTTAACAAAATACATATATAATATAAAATTAAGTTATTTATATTAAAAATTGACCATGTGATTTAACATAATCTTCCTCCTTTCGAAAATCTCCCACAAACTAAACTTGTTGTTCTTAGCCTACCAGATAACAGTGCTGTTCTTGGCTGTGGCTGCCATTACTTGGAGTTTCAGTGCTATGGTCCTTGCTCTTCATAATATTTACAAAGGATATACGTTCCAAAGTCAAACTAAGACTATCCCAATCCTTGGTGGCGCTCTCAGTATCGTTGCATGTGAGTAGAATGACGTATGATGCATTAATGAGTTTGTGAGTGACTGGCCGTCAAAAACAGTGATTCTCAACATGTGTGTGTAGGAAAAGCCAAATTTTTTTTTTTTACAGATAGTTTAAGGTTTTTTTTTAAACGAAGGAAATATTTTAAAACCAATTCTTATTCACTGTAACTATGAATATTAAAATAGGCTTAAATCACCGTCAAAGAATATGATGAAGATAAAACTAAGAGTGAGCTTTGTGTTAAAATGCTTCTTCTGTCCCAGGTGTCTTCGCAGTCATTGAAGTCATAATATGGGCCGCGGAAATCCATCGTGACTTTCGCATGGTCAACCAAAACTTCGAACTGGGATACTCATTCGCCCTCACCATTGTTGGCGCCTGCTTGTATTTCCTCGGCGGCATCTTATTCATAACAAGCCAAAGGAAAAAGTCAACTTAGCTACGTACAGACTGTGTGATGTGGTGACGTGACAGTGCTGAGTCGTAGCTGATCGAGTCTTCCTTGTTGTTTAATGTACAGGGAGTGGTCCCTACTCACTCAGATCGGAGCGTGTATGAGTTCAATATTGAATTCTGAAAATTTTTACGAATATTTATTTCCTTATAAATAAAACTTTATAAAATATTAATTCACCAAGCTTGTCAATGTTTATTCTTTTATTTCTTTATCAATTATATTTGTGAATTTAAAAAAAATAAATTATTAGTCTATTTTTTTTAAAAGAAAAAATACTTTGCTACTTTTAATAAGTTGCTTAGCTTATTTGTTTGTTTTTTAAATTCTTATTTAACTTAACAATAGTTCATTCCAATTCAATATATGAGTGGAACTGTTGACATGAATGTAATGTGACAATCTCTGTGATCGCAGCAGCCCGACACTGTTTGACATAGTTGCTAGCGTATGTGTTACGTGACAATCTCTGTGTATACAGCAGCCTGACACTCTGTGACAAAGTTTCCCGCGTATGTGTGAAAAGCATTTGAGAACACAGTTTTTTTTTTAACGTATTAGCACAGCGGTTCTCAACCTGTGGGTCGCTGGACCCTTTTCCAGGGGTCGCCTAAGACCATTTGAAAATATATATCCTTACAGCTAGGAAGTAGCTAACTTGCGATAAGACTGTGCAGCAGTAGTACCAACAGGAAAAATGCATTCAAAAAGTTTTTTTTTATTTTTTTTATAAAAAATAACTATTTGAAATGAAATCTCATCCACTAATTTTTTTTTTTTCAAATAAAATAATTATAATATCCCAACGTTATGGACACAGTTCTGCCGATGTAGAATTCCAGCGTCTTAAGCACCTGCACATTTTGACATTTAAAAACATCACTCATCCCTTTCCATTTTATTTTAACATTAAACACTTGTTTTTATAAAAAAAAAATTACTTGACAACTCGTTTCTAATAAAGATTATTTTTTCTAGTGGTACGGATAATCGATCTGAGAAATACAATTTATAGAGTGGTTTCTTTTGGTTTAAATACATTGAACAGTATACTCCGGCCCGGGGGGGGGGGGGTTCGGGGAAGAAGGATACTGCTAATGAAAGGTCCTGGGCTGCAAAGGAAAGTGGCTTCCAAGGGAAAGTGCTTCTAATGAAAAATTTTGGTTTAAATACATTGAACAGTATTCTCCGGCCGGGGGGGGGGGGGGTTCGGCGAAGAACGATACTGCTAATGAAAGGTCCTGTGCTGCAAATGAAATGTGCTTCCAATGGAAAGTGCTTCTAATGAAAAGTGCTGTGCTGCAAATGAAATGTGCTGTGCTGCTGATAAAAGGTGCTTCCGGTGAAAGGTGCTGTGCTGCAAATGAAAGGTGCTGCTAATGAAAGGTGCTGCTAATGAAAGGTGCTGCTAATGAAAGGTGCTGTGCTGCTAATAAAAGGTGCTGCTAATGAAAGGTGCTGCTAATGAAAGGTGCTGCTAATGAAAGGTGCTGCTAATGAAAGGTGCTGCTAATGAAAGGTACTGTGCTGCTAATAAAAGGTGCTGCTAATGAAAGGTGCTGCTAATGAAAGGTGCTGCTAATGAAAGGTGCTGCTAATGAAAGGTGCTGCTAATGAAAGGTGCTGCTAAAGTAAGGTGATGTGCTGCAAATGAAAGTGTTTCTAATGAAAGATCCTTTGCTGTAAATAAAAGGTGCTGCTAGGCATATTCCGTAAGGATACATGTTCAGCATGGCGATCATACAAAACTAATTTTTTTCGAAATACTGCGCAATAAACTTTACGAAAACTAAAACAGTGTTTAAAATTGTACAGGTGTTTTTTGAACGCGAACGCTTAAGAAAAACCACTGACCAAACAAAAAACAACAAACTTATCGATTGCTCATCAGCCTTTAGTGACACCAGAAAGAATGAGCTCTCTTGTCACCATGGTCCCTGAGCACGTCATTGTGCAAAGTGTATGCTTCCAAGACATCTTGAACAAAACAACAAAAAAAGATCGCTTTGAGTGCATTGACAAAATGAATGTTTACACATGTTTTGTTCGCTTATTCACACGTACCTCTGACGGGGGCCATGTTGTGGAGTGTTTTGCTTCATCTCTCCTGGGCCTTTTCACGTGTCGGTCTTTACACGAAAAGTTTGACTCAAAATCAAAGTGACAACAATGACATTAAGAGAATACCCGTAAAAAGAAGGGGGGGGGGGTCGCCAAATTTGGAACTCTGTTGAGGCCATCCAGATATATTGCTCCCTATTTTACGCGTACATTTTGACGCCCCCTCATGCATGATTACAATGAGCTTTCAACCACCGATCCCCCCCCACCCCACCCCCACCCCCGTCCCCAAAAAATTGTATTTTAAAGATCCAACAATCTTTATATAATTGTGACGTCGAGGTAAACAAAATATGTCACGTTTTTTCACCGCTTGCTGTTTAGCCCTGTGGCTACCAGAGTATGCGCCACATCGCCTTGTGGGTGTGGGTCACGCTGACCTCAGGATGGGCCGTGAGAATGGGATGAAGAACAACAGGCGCCAAAAAACTGGGGCGCCAACATCATCTTTAGAGAGGACCTTAATATTAAATTAAACTATAAAATACAGTAAATATCCCAAAGTCAAGGGGTACTAAGAATCGCCTTTTTTTATTGGTCTCCCGTGGGGGAGGTGGGGGGGCACATTTTTCTATGGCTTGTTGCGGCTTCCTCATATGGAATTTCCGAAAGATTACACAATTTTCATAACTTTATTTCCCCTTGTAATCCAATGTTGACACACTGACCCACTTCAGATCTCGTGAGATCTTTGCAGTGACTTGATGGCCCTTAATGACCTACATTCGTGTTATATTTATTTTTAGACCCAACCCTTGTTTTGTGTTTACGTGTTCCCTGTTTCAGCGTTTAAATGTTAGAATGAAACACAGGGTGACCTGGTGACGACCTAAATTTGGCATAGGCACCGGGAATCTAAAGCATTTGGGAACCACTGGTGTAGTACCAAATAATATACGTCACCGCACGCGCGTTGAACATACGGTGGACTAAATATTGCTGTGCTATCTCCACCACTGAATGCTATTTGAGCATATCGAGCCAGTTCATTTGGGAAAATACATGGCAACATCATGACGAAAATTCCTATAAAACATTGCTTGATATTTCTAGAGCACTCGGGATTTTGTCAAAGCTATTTTTGGACTGTCAAAATTGCAGGATGATTATGGTAAAAAAATTTAATAAATGTACATACTTTCGACCGAGACCCCCCCCCCCCCCCCCCACCCCGGGCCATAAACACGGTTGCGACCATTTTAACATTAAAACCTCTCTCCCTGCACAGAAAAGCTATTTTTGGACTGTCAAAATTGCAGGATGATTATGGTAAAAAAATTTATTAAATGTACATACTTTCGACCGAGCCCACCCCCCCCCCCCCCACCCCGGGCCATAAACACGGTTGCGACCATTTTAACATTAAAACCTCTCTCCCTGCACAGTGCGTACGTACTATATGGTTGACCCATTAGAGGGGTCTCCACAGGCGTGCGTACGGCACTTATTTCTAAGATTGGCAAAAGAGGTAAATAAAAACCTCGATCTTCATTTTGACATGAAGGCTAATGTATTTTTTCAGAAGGGCTTAGAAGGAGTTAATATGAGAGATAGTGAGGAGTTAGATCGTGCTAATTAAAGTCCCATAATCACAGACGGGTCTTGGAAGAGATGACAGGAAGAGATGATCGGAAGAGGCGACAGGAAGAGGTGATAGGAATAGGTGAGAAGAAAATGTGAGAGGAAGAGATGACAGAAAGAGGTGACAGGAAGAGATGATAGAAAGAGATGACAGAAAGAGATGGCAGAAAGAGATGATAGAAAGAGATGGCAGAAAGAGATGACAGCAAGAGATGACAGGAAAAGATGACAGAAAGAGATGGCAGAAAGAGATGACAGGAAGAGATGGCAGGTAGAGGCAACAGGAGGAGACGACAAGGAGAGATGACCTGAAGAGGTGACAGGATGATGTGACAGGAAGAGGTGACAGAAAGAGATAACAAAAAGAGGTGACAGGAAGAGGTAATAGGAAGAGGTGACAGGAAGAGGTGACAGAAAAGGCTGACAGAAAGAGGTGACAAGAGGATGTGACAGGAAGAGGTGAAAGAAAGAGGTGACAGGAAGAGGTAATAAGAAGAGGTGACAGGAAGAGGTAATAGGAGGAGGTGACAGGAAGAGGTGACAGGAAGAGGTGACAGGTGCAGGTGACAGGAAGAGGTGACAGGAAAAGGTGGCAGGAAGAGGTGACATGAAGAGGTGAATGGAATAGGTGACAGGAAGAGGTGACAGGAAGAGGTGACAGAAAGAGGTGACAGAAATGGCTGACAGAAAGAGGTGACAAGAAGAGGTGACAGAAAGATGTGAAGGGAAGAGGTGACAGGAAGAGGTGACAGGAAGAGGTGACAGAAAGAGGTGACAGAAAGGGGTGACTGGAAGAGGTAACAGAAATAGGTGACAGGAAGAGGTGACGAGAAGAGATAACAAGAAGAGGTGACAGAAAGATGTGACAGTTTAAAGGCGAAAGGAAGAGGCGACAAGAAGAGGCGACAGAAAGCGGTGGCAGGAAGAGGTGACAGAAAGAGGTGACGGGAAGTGGGGACAAGAAGAGGCGACAGAAAGAGGTGACTAGAAGAGGTTACAGGAAGAGGTGACGGGAAGAGGTAACAGAAAGAGGTGACAGGAAGAGGTGACAGGAAGAGATAACGGGAATCTCTACATATTCACATCGTGACATAAGGGCGGTAAAATCAAAGACCGCACCTGTCGTCGCAAACTCTAGCTAAGACACTTGCCGTTGTCCACCTCAAAGCCCTTCTTTTACCCCCATTATCCATAGAACTATGAACCAGTATTGAGTGACAGCTCAAACTGGTAACACTTGGCCAAGGAATTTGTAGCTGTCCACTTAACGTTGTTTAATTTTGGCCTATGATAAATGCCTTTTTTTAAAAATACTTTTTACCGAATTAAATTCACAATTTGATCATTAGCCTAAGGTTAGTCATAATAATCCCAGTAATGAAGCTTCTATCTTCTATACCATGGTGGACATGAAGACTTCTTATAACGATCAATAAGAACTGGATGGATTTTATCAGCGTGTTTTCAACTAATAAGTCCGAAGAGAAACATGAGAGAACCAATGTTAACATTAGGTAGAATTAGAAACTAGAAAAGAAAGTGTGCTGTCAGCTGATAGTCCGGATGGAAACGGGGAACCAATGTTAATATTAGGTAGACGTAGAAACTAGAAAAGAAAGTGTGCTGTCCGGAGGGAAACAAGGAACCAATGTTAATATTAGGTACAAGTAGAAACTAGAACAGAAAGTGCACTATCAGCTGATAAATCCAGAGGGGAAACAGGGAACCAATGTTAACATTAGGTAGAAATAGAAACTAGAACAGAAAGAGTGCTGTCAACTGATATGTCCGGACAGAAACAGAGAGCCATTGTTAACATTAGGTAGAACTAAAAACTAGAAAAAGATTTTTAAAGAAAGTGTGTTGCTAGCATCCTAATATTTTGCGTTCCAAAAAATTACAAGTATATTAAATCATTTTATTGTTCATGAGTATTTTAAAGAGCCACTTGGTGTACATGAATTAAAGACGCAATTTTGCTGTCAGGTAAGACAAACACACACACACACACCCACCCACACACACACACAAAGGATATAGCCAATCAGAATATTACATGTGTTTTTGGTTTGATTATGTGGTGGGGGTTTTTTTGTTGTTGTTTTTTTATTATGAGGTTGTTTTTGGTTGTTTTTTTTTATTATGTGGTTGTTTTTTGTTGTTGTTTTTTTATTATGAGGTTGTTTTTGGTTGTTTTTTTTTATTATGTGGTTGTTTTTTGTTGTTGTTTTTTGATTATGTGGTTGTTTTTTAGTTGTTTTTTGATTATGTGGTTGTTTTTTGGTTGTTTTTTGATTATGTGGTTGTTTTTTTTGGTTGTTTTTTTTAGATGTGTCTCTTTGGCGTGAGTTGTTGGTTGTTTTTTTTAGATGTGTCTCTTTGGCGTGAGTTGGGGGGGGGGGGTTAGATTATAATAGAGGGAGGCAGATAAATAGGCAAAAATGTATCTTCCCCTCATATCTGTGTTCGTGTGTGAAAGCTCTCTCTCCCCCTCACACCCTCTTTATTTTTTCTCTATGCTTCGTCGCCACACTTTCATTATTGTCGCGAATTCCATGAAGCAATTGATTGATTTTCAGCGCGATCGCGGAATCAGATCGATAGAAACCCACTCCTTAAGGTTGAGAGCACCTATTTTGCGTGCACATTCCAAGGCTACAGCATCAGCAAGCCGCTCAGCGTAAGTGTTATAACGTACGATCTCTATCTGTGCTTCTAGCCCCAACTATTACGACAGCATTTTCGAAGTCTCGCTTGTAATCATTCAATGTATATATATATAGTTCAGTAAATTGAATAGATGGATCAAGACGAGAGACACATTTCGCCGTCTTTACTATAAAGGAAATGAAATTACAAATATATCTCGCTATAAAGAAACATCTTTACAAATGGTAAAAAAAATAAATAATAAAGTGAAATGTTATAATTTAAATAAGGGTTGTTTTCAAGAGGCTTCTTAAAAACTTATTCACTGTACCAAAAACCTAGAATTTCACATCTTATAATTCATTGAACGTGCGAAATACCTAGAATTCCACTTTTTTTAAAAAATTAATCCAGCGTGCCAACAACCTAGAATTCCAGATTTTATAATTCACTGAGCGTGGCAAAAACCTAGAATTCCAGATTTCGAGACACATTTTAAATATCCTTTATAATTATTTGGTCTTCCATCTGCCATTACAACAACAAAAAAATGCTCAACGTGACACGTTTGGCACGCGTGCCACTGGTGGCACACTGACTCCTGAAACAACTTATTAATTTAAATAAAGTTTCGTAAGAATTTATTTGTTTAAGCATTTGTGCACTAAACTCAATTTATTAATATTGTAGTCCGTTTTTGTAAAACAAAAACTATTTGCATTTGCAATAACTGACTGTGTCACGCAAAGGGCGTACGGCGCTGGACAATGGAAGCCCATCGTTAGGGTTTGAGCGACTGTCCCGGTGGAAACTTATTGTTAGGGTTTGAGCGACTGTCCCGTTTGAAGCCCCCTGTTAGAGTTTGTGAGATTGTCCCGGTAGAAATCCATTGTTAGAAATGGAGAGATTGTCCAGGTAGAAACCCATTGTTAGACAGTGAGAGATTGTCCCCATTGTAACCCCTTGCTAGAGATTGAGCGATTGCCCCAGTATAAACCTGTTGTTAGAGTTTGAGAGATAGTCACCCTATAATCCCATTGTTAGAGATTGAAAGATGGTCCAGGAAGAAACTTATTTTTAGGCTTTAAGACATTGTCGTGGTATAAATCTATTTTTAGATATTGGGAGATTGTCCAAGTAGAAACTTATTTTTAAGGTTTAAGATATTGTCCCGGTCCATAACTATTTTTAGAGATTGAGAGATTGTCCCCCTAAAAGCCCATTTTTAGAGATTGTTATTGTTAGAGTTTGATGGATTGCCCCGGTAGAAACCCTTTGCTAAAGTTTGAGAGAGTGTCCTTCTAGAAACCCATTTTTAGATTTGTGAGATTCCCGCATTGTCATGGCAACCAGACGTCGCACAGGAGGCGGCGGATCAATACGCCTCTATTACAACCAGACGTCACACAGGAGGCGGCGGATCAATACGCCTCTATTACAACCAGACGTCGCACAGGAGGCGGCGGATCAATACGCCTCTATTACAACCAGACGTCACACAGGAGGCGGCGGATCAATACGCCTCTATTACAACCAGACGTCACACAGGAGGCGGCGGATCAATACGCCTCTATTACAACCAGACGTCGCACAGGAGGCGGCGGATCAATACGCTTCTTTGACACCTGACTTAAACCTCGACTCTGAAAACCGATTAAGGATTTTTTTAAAAACATCCTGTGGGTTTTGTACATTTGCACCGCCATTTGCGGTAGACGTGAATCTATGACCAAGAAGATTACTAATGAAGCATCGTGAAATGTGCTGTGATGCACAGTTAAAGGAGAAAGAAGAGCTCTATAAAACGTATTTGGGCAAGGATTAATATCCTGCGTTTCACAAACATGGTCTTTCGATGGGTTTGCTGTTTGGGACACGTATGATGCATGTGAACAGCTTTCCCGTGCATGAAGCACATCAAATCACAAGTGAGAACACGAATTGCTGATGTTCGTTTGGAAAACTGCTTGCATGTAACAACAACATCAGTTGAGATCAATTTGGATGCCCTTGGTTCTGCTAAACAAAGTCCGATGTCTCGCTTTTAAATAATTTAAATTGTCTAATAAATAGGTTTGATTCTCAGTTACGTTTTATTTTCTTCACACTCCCCCCCCCCCCCAAAACCTATTTCTTGTATTTTTTACATTAAACCAGGCAAGCGTTTGGCCCCGATCTCACCCCCCCGCCAACCGACAATGTGGTCGAAGCTGTAGCGCGCTTGCTTGTTTACTTAAATTAACAACAACAGCAAAAAAAAAAAAAATTAGATGCGTGGCCCGACAGGAAATATTATTTTCTGAAATTTGACTCGCCTGCTGAAAAGGTTGGCCAGCCCTGGCATAGAGTAAAGGGTAATTTTAAAGTTATAGGTTAAATAACACCTCTAAGCAAAGTCTTTCGTATAACTCCTTTATTAAATTTAATAACGGGTGACTGAAAATTTGACAAAACATGCATTCAACAAGTAGCGCACTTTATAAGAATCCCAATAAGTGCTTACCCACCCCCCCCCCTCTCCCTTGCAAAGTCTCGAAACCGCACATTTTTGTTCACGCCCCTAAACTATATAAATATTCTAATGACCAACCCGCTTTTTCACCACAGATATATAATATAATATTTCACCAACTATTTCACCAACTATTTCACCAACTATTTCACCAACTATTTCACCAACTATTTCACCAACTATTTCACCAACTATTTCACCAACTATTTCACCAACTATTTCACCAACTATTTCACCAACTATTTCACCAACTATTTCACCAACTATTTCACCAACTATTTCACCAACTATTTCACCAACTATTTCACCAACTATTTCACCAACTATTTCAGAAAAACTAAATAAAATATCACGCACCAAACGCATTAGCGCGGCTATCGGGAGTGATTTCCCTTCATCTTCCCCCTGTAAAATAGAAACAAAAAAAATTTTGGGAGGGTTTGAAATGAAAATTTGAAAGAATGTGTTGTCATCGGCAACGAGTGTATGTGCCTAATTTCAGCTCGATAGGTTGACGGGAAGCGGATCAATTAGCCATCTGAAGAACAAAAGCGAATTTAATACAAAGGATTTAAAAATTGGAAGCAAACAGAGCTGGTGGGAGAAATGAAAGATCTATTAACAGCTGTACCGCCTTCGTCAAATATGAGTCATCGATGAAACGGGGGAAAAGTTGTAGTCGGTGGTGGAAAAAAAAAGGGGGGGGGGTCTTTCTCAGGCTTCACACCAGGTGCCAAGTTACCTCGGCACGTTCCTCTGAAAAGATATTACTCAATACATGCACTGATATTTTATAAGTTTATGGGCGATATCATAAAATCGTTTGAAAATTCACAAATATGCACACACACATACACACACAAACAATCACAAGTGCAGTAAAAAAAAAAAAATTCGCACAACAGATTTTGAATGCCAAATCTCTAGAACTGTTGGAAACCTTGCTTAAAACTGTTTACTCTATCTCCCTCCCACAACAGATGGCCATCATGACTTATCAATGCCGAGTGGACTTTGCAGTCATTTTTGGACTGGTTGTCGAAGTCTTCGGCTGGAACTTACACAACGGGGGGCTGGTGACACACAGCTGGTCTGTCTCGGGTCTGGTCTCTCGTGGTGTCATGCAGAACTGCTTCCTGGATCTGTGCACCTCCATCCCGCTGTCAGCGATGTCCTGTAAGCGATAGAGTAAAATGATGATAAGACCGTAACACAGCTTGTATGTAGTACAGGACTTCAAGCGAGAGCGTGTCATTTAGATGTGGTTGAAGACTGAATCACCCACATATTGGTCAGTCAGGATTTTAGGACAAGTTATAAATGGCTTTGTGCAGGGGGGCCGGTGGAAGCACTGCACCCCCCGGGGGCAAAGTCTGAATTTAGGCGATCGCTTCGATAATGAAGTAAATAGGAATGCACACATTTTTAATTTAAAAAAAAAATAATGACTTTGGCGCCATTTGAACATTGCCTCAAAGACAGGTGCCCCCCCCCCCCCCCCCCCCCCCCGCCCCCCAGGAAGCACTGCACCCCCCGGGGGCAAAGTCTGAATTTAGGCGATCGCTTCGATAATGAAGTAAATAGGAATGCACACATTTTTAATTTAAAAAAAAAAATAATGACTTTGGCGCCATTTGAACATTGCCTCAAAGACAGGTGCCCCCCCACCCCACCCCCCGCCTTGCCCCCCTGTTCTTCACGTGTCCCTGGTTATGGAGCCTAAGTTTGCTGAACGGAACCCACACGAGTCTTAATCTTAATCTTAATCTTAATCTTAATCTTAATCTGACCACGTTTTGTTTTTATTTTGTATAACTTTATAACTTTGATAGAAATTCTGCTGGTCGTTGATTTTTAAATTAATTATTTTTTATGTTTTAGTTAATTTGGTAGTACGACAATACAGAAGGGAAGATGACAAATAAAATCTTTTTTTTCCCAAATAAAACCCGATAGAGAAAAAAATATATGCTTACATATCATGTTCATAGAAAGATATATTTTTAAAAAAATATATGCTTACATATCATGTTCATAGAAAGATATATTTTTAAAAAAATATATGCTTACATATCATGTTCATAGAAAGATATATTTTTAAAAAAATATATATATTCCTACTTTCAAACAATTAACAAAGAAATGTTATTGTGTACCTTGCAGCATACCATATTAAGGTGCTATTCATGGTGCTGACTGCCAATGTTTGGGTTATCGGTGCCATGCTCCTGGCCTTCTACGACATCTACAAGGGATACAGACTCCAGGAGCAAAATAAGTTTATCCCATGGATATGCGGAGCCCTCAGCATCCTTGGATGTAAGTAGACTATCAGGATGTGTGAGGAGACTGCCTGGATGTGTGAGTAGACTGTCTGGATGTGTGAGTAGACTGTCTGGATGTGTTAGTAGACTGATTGGATGTGAGTAGACTGTCCGGATGTGAGTCGTCTGAATGTGAATAGACTGTCTGGATGTGAGTAGACTGTCTAGATGTGAGTAGACTGTCTGGATGTGAGTAGACTGTCTGGATGTGAGTAAACTGTCTGGATGTGAGTAGACTGACGTGGTGACTTGAAAAGCTCATCAGTACAGAGCCCTTCAGAACGGGTATTCCCAAACGTTCTGTAAAAACTGTCGCTAACTGTTAGACGTCTTCAATGATTTGTTTGTTTTCTGTTGATGTTTTTTGATAAAATGTTTGTTTGATATTATTATTGATTATTAAATACAAAGATTAAAAACATTATAATTACAGGCTAAATTTTACAACCCCTAAAAGCATAGTTTTCGTTTACATTCTTTACAAAATGTAATATCGAGCAAAAAAGGGGGGGGGGGGAGGGTAGAAAATTTGAAAAAACATGCATCTCACTTTTAAAAAATCAATCCACACCCCCCCCCCCCTTTTTTTTTTCAAAACTCGCAACGGCACTTTTTATTCAGTCGAACCCTGAACTAAATTAACTTCTAAAGACCCACCCACTTTGACACAACAGGTTTATTTCACCAAAGATTTTAGAAAAACATTTTTCAAAAAAAAAAAAAAATCTGATTTGGCGCAGTTATAGGGAATTCTATTTTCTCTTTACCTTGAAAAAAAAACAGGGAAAACTTACTTTTAGGGGTTGAGGTTGGGGGTGGGGCTTGGAAATTTGAAAGAATGTGTTGTCATCGGCTGCGAGTCTATGTACCAAGTTTCAGGTCGATGGGTTGACGGGAAGTGGGTCAATTAGCCGTCCGAAGAATGGCGATGAAGGCACAATATTAATATTAAAATGTATCACTTTTTTTTTTTGTTCTTGTTTGCCCATAGGTGCGTTCATAGTGATTGGTGATGTTTTCTGGGTCGGGAAAATCCACAGAGACCTCCGCTTGTCCAACAGGAACTTCAAACTGGACTACTCCTTCATCATGACCGCTGTTGCTGCATTCCTCTATCTCCTCTCTGGTCTTCTGTTCCTATCAAGCCAACGAGAGGACTCGCCTAAACCACTTAGGCAGCGAATTATCGCGTGATGGCGTCAGGCACTTTTTTTTAAATTTACTTTCGTCGGGGATGATTGTAGCCTTGAAATTTGTCCTTTGACAGAATTAGAAAAGTATGTAAGTTTTAAGTTCTCAAATTTAAAAATCGGTTTGTAATCATCTCTGTGTGTTTGGTAATTTTTCTTTAATTGTTTTTTCATTATTTTGTCAATCTGTTTCAATCCAATATTTTTCCTTACATTAAAAAGAATAATTGATCTTAGTTTTTAAAAGATTGTTGTTCAAGTTCAAGTTAGTTTTGGAGTGTTTTTAAATAAATAAAACAATATATATAAGGCAGTTGCCCTATTATGTGTGGATATTGCCCAAACTCTGTGGGAGAAAGTTGCCCAACTTTGTGTGGATAGTGCCCAAACTCTGTGGGAGACAGTTGTAAAACTTTGAGTGGATAGTGCCCAAACTCTGTGGGAGACAGTTGCCCAACTTTGTTTAGACAGTGCCCAAACTCTGTGGGAGACAGTTGCCCAACTTTGTTTGGATAGTGCCCAAACTCTGTGGGAGACAGTTGCCCAACTTTGTTTAGACAGTGCCCAAACTCTGTGGGAGACAGTTGCCCAACTTTGTTTAGACAGTGCCCAAACTCTGTGGGAGACAGTTGCAAAACTTTGAGTGGATAGTGCCCAAACTCTTTGGGAGACAGTTGCCCTATTATGTTAGGATAGTGCCCAAACTCTGTGGGAGACAGTTGCCCAACTTCTGTGTGAAACAGTTGCCCAACTTTGTTTGGATAGTGCCCAAACTCTGTGGGAGACAGTTTCCCAACTTTGTGTGGATAGTGCCCAAACTCTGTGGGAGACAGTTGCCCAACTTTGTGTGGATAGTGCCCAAACTCTGTGAGAGACAGTTGTAAAACTTTGAGTGGATAGTGCCCAAACTCTTTGGGAGACAGTTGCCCAAATGTGTGTGGAAAGTTCCCAAACTCTGTGGGAGACAGTTGCCCTATTATGTTTGGATAGTGCCCAAACTTTGTGTGGATAGTGCCCAACTTCTGTGTGAAACAGTTGCCCAACTTCTGTGTGAAACAGTTGCCCAACATTGAGCGGATAGTGTCCAAACTCTGTGAGAGACAATTGCCTGACTCTATATTGTTGATTTGTATAAATTGCAAGCAGCCCATTAGCTTTTCAACATAATATTAAATGTGTAGTAAAATACATAACAGAAAGACTTCATTATTATTATTATTATTTCAAAGTTGATTTTGCAACTGATTATTTTGTGTTACATTTTGAATGCGGAGTTTTTAAAAAAAAAAAATATTAATTTAATACTCAAACAAATGTTGACAAAGAAAAACAAAATAATAATAATTAAAATAATGACTAAAACGACAAACTAGTTTTGAGAGTAGAAGACATGATAAAGCACCCTAGATAGCACAAGACGACCAAAACATGATAAAGCACCCTAGATAGCACAAGACGACCAAAACATGAGATTGGAATTTTAAAATATATTTTATTCTTGCTTATTCAATAACAAAACTATCATTTGGATGAGTTCTGTTTATATATGTCGATGCGTTAACTCTAAACGTATTGATAAAACTGTGACTTAATGTAAATGAGATATTCACTCTACCACGTGTGTCACAAGTGTCAGCGTTGTTATTGCGTAAGATGATCTGTAAGTGTTCCCAGTGTGGATGAACGCAGAAAGAAGTCGTACGGAGTGCGCTCTTTTGAAGCGATAGCGCCAAAATTATGGAACAGTTTGCCTCGATCTTTGAGGGGAATTGTAAATGAAAAAAAAAATCATTTCAGAAACAATTTAAAACTTTTTTTGTTTAAATAGATTTCGGAGGACCAGAGCGCAGTGAGCAGTGAGCATGCTAAAGGGGCATGGATACGGCGCGATATGAATATCAAATCAATCCATCAAGGGGGTCTGAAAGCCATTCCCACACACGTCTTGTTGTTTTTACAAAAAAAATGGGAGACGGCCGTATTGATTTTCGGGCGGCTTTTATACTCCAGTTCCGGGCGGTTTTTCCACGCCAGTCCCAGGTGGTTTTTACACTCCAGTCCCGGACGGTTTTTACACTCAAATCCCGGGCGGCTTTTAAACTTCAGTCCCGGATGGTTTTTACCCTCCAGTCCCGGGCGGTTTTACACTCCAGTCCCGGGCGGTTTTACACTCCAGTCCAGGGCGGTTTTTACACTCCAGTCCAGGATGGCTTGTACACTCCAGTCCCGGGCGGCTTTTACACTCCAGTCCAGGGCGGTTTTACACTCCAGTCCAGGGCGGTTTTTACACTTCAGTCCAGGATGGCTTGTACACTCCAGTCCCGGGCGGCTTTTACACTCTAGTCCAGGTTTGCTTTTACACTCCAGTCCAGGGCGGCTTTTACACTCTAGTCCACGATTCCTCTCGCTAGGAGCGCTAGTATGCTGTTGCGAAGCCTTGTTTTATATATAGCCTTGCCGAGTACAACTATATGATCTTTATTGTCCATCTTTGTAGACCAGCTTACTTGATCGAATTTGCAAAGTATGTCACTTATATTTTGCCTCACAAACATTGTCGAAGAAACATGCAGGACAACACAGAGATCGGGCTCGGGAGAATGTGCCAACCCAAACTGTTCCAGAATCAACTCAGGTAAAACGCATCAGTCCTTGGAGAATCGCTGCTAGAAGGCAAAGAGAACTCATGGCAGTTATTGTCAGAAGAGAAAATGCACATTCAGAGGTTGTTCAGTGACTATATGAGGATGAAGTTGATCTGTCTGCAATTATCCTTCCAGGAAACGATGATGGTGAAATATTGATGCCAGTCGTAACTATGGATGACACTTCACTTCACCATGCATGGATGATGTCCAGTGAATATTTTTTGATTAAACATAATTCACAGGCCCATAATAAACAGATTCAATATAGCACAAGAGTTTGTCACAAAATTTGTCAATCTAGTCTTTTTTTTTAGTCAAATTGTTTTGTTTCCTTTTTATTATTTAATCAATGGGTGTGTTCAAGTTTTTCTAATTTTCTTCTTATCCTGTGTAAAAAAATTACATAATCAGAAATTATCTAAAACTTGACCTCACCTTTTGTAAATGAAAAATCAGCAGATAAATGATGTGTATTATATAATTAATTTTCTAGTCTAATTTTTGCAATTTTTGTTTTCAAATTCAATCTACATTGAGTTACTGTTTCAATTAATAACTGTGACAACTGGTTACAATTAATTATTCTACTATTAAAGTAATCTTAATAATGTGATAGTTCTTTTAAGTGGAAATTTTATATTTGAATACAGTTTAATAGTGAAGTGTGTTGTAGATTACATTTTAATTAGGCGTTAATTTTTTTTTTTTTAAATGTGTTCGAAAGTGTGACCTACTTTGAGGGGGGGGGGGTCCGAGATTTGTGACAGTTTGTTACAGGGGGAGAGGGGGTAAAAATGGTCAAAAATAACGTGACGTACTTTATGGACGGCCCCCAAGGTAAGGGCACAACAAGGGAAAAGCAGAACTGACTCCGCTACAAGTGGGACCAAACACAACAGCTGTGCCTACGTGATGGAGGGCTTTCCTCACACGAACAGGACTGGCACGCTTCATGCGCTGTCGCCGTTGAACGTAGAGCTTTGGTTATCTTTGCTTGCCAAGGAAGAACAACAGCAGCACTCTGGCCATTAAGAGCAGAACCTGTTTACCCCCGGGTTAGTGTCACAGTAGTCTTCAGCTCTAAATAAAACAACAACAGCAACAACAAAAAACAACGCAGTCTTAGGCGTAAAGACGTAGCTACCACGGCGAAAGCGTAAGGGTTAACATGTGTGTAAGAGTTATCAAATCAAGACTATGACAGATCATCTTAAGATAGTGGTTTGATTTAACATGATTAGTCATAATGTTTATCTTTGAGCTTTTGTATTTCTCTACTCTACAGGCTTCACAGAGCGTCGCTCAATGGAATGCCAATTTACAACATGACACTCTTGGATTAAGCTACGTTTCAGCTTGATACATTGTTCTACGTAATCTGTGTCAGTGGCGTCACTAGTAGGGCGCGGGGGGGGCAGGCCGCATGGGCTCATACCCTCACAGGGAGTGAAACCCTCACAGGGAGTGAACCCCTCACAGGGGGTGACACCCTCACATGGAGAGGATACCCTCACAGGGGGTGACACACTCACAGGGAGACGACACCCTTACAAGGGGACGACACCCTCACATGGGGGACACCCACACAGGGGGATGACACCCTAACGGGGGGTGGGGGGACACCAATAACAAAATTGCAAACATGAAATAGTTCGCTCGAGTCGGTTTCATGATATATTTAAGCTTAATGCAAAAGAGCAGGGTTTCAACAGGTTTCACCAGGAAAAGAAAATGCCCCAAGAGCAGGGGTGGCAAAGATCTCCACCAGTGCATCCAGTAGCGGCGTTCAAAACGATTTAAAAAAATAATAATAATAATTCCCTGTTTATTATATTTTGGAATCATTTTGTCCGTAAATGTCCTAACACACAAATAGACAGTAGGCTACATGTCCTATCATATACTGACCAGATGTCTGAGGGGGTCAGATTGACCGGTTCCGTGAAATACGCACACATGACAAACGCGCACACGATAATCGGGCACACGATAATAGCGCACAGAAAATTCCGCAAAGACATAGCTGCGCACAGGAAAACTGCGCACACCGACAGTTGCGCACTCAGAAAATTGCGTACACCGATTAGAGCGTACACGGAAAATTGCGCACACTGACAATTGCAAACCTGGACAATAGCGAACACATACAAATACGCACAATGTAATTTTAATATATAATTGAAAATTCATAAAAGAGTTGAAAATGCTGTTGGTCATCAGTCATCTTCCCAACTTGCCTTGTGTGCTGATAGGCAACTGATCTGAACCATGTTAATTCTAAAGATGTGGCTTTAGAGAAAATGTCATTGAAATTTGCGCATTTGTGTGTGTTCGCTATTGTCAACGTTCGCAATTGTCCGTGTGCGGAATTTTCTGTGCCCGCATTTGTCGGTGTGCGCCTTTTTCTGTGTGCGCAACTGTCGGTGTGCGCAGTTATCCTGTGCGCAACTATGTAGTTGCGGATTTTTCTGTGCGCGTTTATCGTGTGCGCGTTTGTCGTGTGCGGATATTTCTGGCCACCAGATTGACCGTACATGTCCTATCATACACTGACCGGATGTCTGAGTGGGAAAAATTGACAGTAGGCTACATGTCCTATCATACACTGACCGGATGTCTGAGTGGGACAAATTGACAGTAGGCTACATGTCCTATCATATACTGACCAGATGTCTGAGGGGGTCAGATTGACCGTACATGTCCTATCATACACTGACCGGATGTCTGAGTGGGACAAATTGACAGTAGGCTACATGTCCTATCATATACTGACCGGATGTCTGAGGGGGGCAGATTGACCGTACATGTCCTATCATACACTGACCGGATGTCTGAGTGGGACAAATTGACAGTAGGCTACATGTCCTATCATATACTGACCAGATGTCTGAGTGGTACAAATTGACAGTAGGCTACATGTCCTATCACACACTGACCGGATGTCTGAGTGGGACAAATTGACAGTAGGATACATTAGAGACCGACCGAAAGTGATTTTCTGATTTCGGCCGAAGCCGAAAATCCGCCGAAACCGAAAAAAGGCCGAAAGTTTAAAAATGACTTTCGGCCGAAACCGAAGAAAAGCCGAAAGTTAAAAATGAATTTCGGCCGAAACCGAAGCCGAAAATGAAATATTAAGATATTTTGAAATTTTTTCCCGCCTACATTCTGCTTACATCGAAAATGATGTGGGAAAATATAAATATTTACATTCTTTTTATAAAAATGAGATAATCGTAAATATTAATAAATAAAAATCTAATTTAGGGTTCTCAAACCCTGCAAGACGATATTTTGCGGTCCGCTACATGACAGAAAAGTTTAGTGTAAATTCGCCGGCCCGTTTCCCCCCTTCTCATATATATAACGTGACTCTCCGCGACGGTTTCAGTCGAATCTCACCGACTAATCTAATTCTGATTTTTTTTTTAAATGTCTCTATATATTTGTATGCCAGCTCTCTGGCAACAGTGAGTAGGTGGATGAAAGTGAATCCTAGTCCTTGAGAACCCTTAATGATTTTTTTGTTATTTATAAAGGTTGACCAGCTGTAACAGTTGTAATCGCTTTTTTGTGGATTACTTGATGCGGCCCACTCTCATTCAGACACTACCTCCTGCGCCC